GGTGTCAGTGCAGGACGAGCTCAATCTCTATGGAAATTAGGACCAGTCACGAACTCCTGCTCAACTCCCTGCTCCAGATCTACCCGGCGAATAGGTAAAGCAACATCATCATGGGGATCCTCCAAATCTGATCAACCCCATGCATAATCACCCTCATTCTCTTCGGAGCCCCCTCATCTAGGTCTCTAATGGGATATTGAGTCATCCCCTGAGTGTCTACCCCATAAGACCCAACTAAACGAGTAATAAAATAACCTCCACTGATCTTGCTCCTCGGTTGAGCATCTGAAGCCGAGCTAGTCAATAAGAATAAGCCAATAGCATAAGGAATATAGAGGTGAACATCCTTACGAAGCAAAACACCACATAAGAAATAGATCGCCTGCAGGAACCTTATCGTGCTCCTCATGATGATAAATAGTAGAGGCAACCAAACGATGGACCAATCTATGAACAGGAGATCTAAAGCTACTCTTATTGGTCAGTCTCGCCACGTAATATCAATTGGCCAAAGCCCAAACCTCCATAGGATTGTACGCCCTCAGCTCCGAGAGAATACACCTATCTAAATAGGACTTGAAGAAAGGATGGTCAATATCCTCAGTAGAGTAGATCCCCAGTCACTGCCCTAATTACACAAGGCTACAAGAACGAGCTACCCCACCTAGTCTAAAAGGTAAGCATTGAGTCGTCACTCCAAATTCAGTCGTCACTCCAGATTCTCGACTCCTTGTTGAATTAAACCGTGGAAAGAAACTCCAAACAAAACTCTCTAAAAATGACCTCTCGAATCCCTATCACATGACGTCATGCATGGCTAACAAAAGCCATACTACCCGCCTCGTCATCGAAGACCCATGTAAGGAATGGTTCTAAGTGGATTTCCCAACAATATATTTTTATATACCAAATAGATCCTACCTCTAATATGATCTTACCTGGTCTTACCTGGTCATTCCTCATTTGATATAACTTTGTATTTTTTGGGATTTTTGAAGAATTCAGAAATGGTTAATATAACCTTATAAATACGAACGACCGCTGAATGTAGCAATATTCGTATTTAGGCCGTTTAAAAAAGGTAAGCTAAAGTGTTAGGTGAGGAGCTAACTTTCCCGCGAATCTTACATCTCAATCAGGTGAGTGCATAGTTACTTTCATGAACATGATTTTAATACAAGTATTTCTTAAAAGTATTAAATATCAGTTGAAAGCTATTATGTGAATTACATGCTTATCATCTGAGATATATGTTAAATGTATATTTGGTATACTACCTACACTGTGTAACATCCCGACTCCCAGGTATAATATTTAATTAATTTATATTCATGTTGTCAGAGCAACTCGACGAGTTGGAGGCCCCAACTCGTCGAGTAGAGAATTAAATGGTCGCGTGATTTTTAGAGTCTACTCGACGAGTTGGAGGACCCCAACTCGACAAGTAGGAGTTGAATGTGAAAACCCTAATTTTCAAGGTTTATGCCCTATTTAAAGGACCTTAAGCCTTCATTTCCGCCTCCCTTATCATCTTGACACACTGAGAGAAACCCTAATCGAGTTGTATTCACCTGTGAGAGAGAGAGAGAGAGAGAGAGAAAGGCTAAGATTGTATGTTCTAGTGCATTTTTGGAAGGAGATTGAAGAGCAAAAGGCTTGGAATGAGAAGAAGCCCTTGGATCCGGTGTTCTTTCAATGCTAGCTGTTATTTGGAGGTAAAAAGCTATCACCTTGATCATTGTTTGGTTAGATCTCTTCATTAGGAGTCTATGGCCATTTCCATCTTTTCTTTGGGTCCCTAAGTGGTTTGAGCTTGCCATGGAGTTGGGACTTCAGATCTGGACAATATGAGGTCCTTTAGGCCTAAAGATTCAAGCTTTATCAAGCTATTGGCCAGCTTTCATGCATTAAACCCTCTATAGAGCTTGTTTTGGCATTTTGAGCCCTAGATGACATGCGTGGACGTAAAGCTTGCAGCTTTACGTGATACTTTAGCCTTAGGAGGCTAGATCTAGAGTATAAGGCCTTAGTTCTGCTTAAAAACGTCTGAATGAGAGAAGGGATTGAAGGGAATCGATGAGTTGATGAGCCAACTCGACGAGTTAGCTAGGGTTTTCCCCCGATAATCTGGACGCGTTACAACTCGGCGAGTTGGTGAGACAACTCGACGAGTTGAGTTGGATTTTCCCGATACTTCAGAGAAAACGAAGGAACTCGATGAGTCGCATAGATGCACTCGACGAGTTGGGTCAACATGGATTGTTGACTCGAGTGTTGACTTTCGTTGACTTTTAGTGTTTGGTCAAGACATGAGTTATGGAGACCATGGAGGGGTAAAATGGTCTTCCACCCTTTCCGAGAGTTAGAAAAGGGGTAGCCTAACATTTTAGAGTTGTTATTATTAAGTGTTAATTAGAGATGATTATGATATGTAGGCGGAGTCTAGACCGATCATCGAGTACGAGACCTACTTGCTTACTTACGAGATGAGTCTTCTCACTATACTTGCCTGAGTGGTAATACTGTGTGTCCGGAGGGTCTTATATGTTTATTCTAAGTTATGTGATATCATACATTTGTCTTTGTGATTTATGTTGTATATTATCCTGTGCTTTATTGGTTAGGACCGGAGGGTCCAACCCGAGTTGTGAGACCGGAGGGTCCTCACTGGAACACATGGACCGGAGGGTCCTTATCGAGATATAGCCATGAGAGGCTAATTATTTGTGTGTGGTATTTTGGGGAACTCACTAAGCTTTGTGCTTACAAGGTTGTGTGATATGTGTTTCAGGTACCTCTCAGGATCGCGGGAAGGCGTCGGCTTGAAAATGAAAATTTGGGTTTTTGAGGATTCTAGGATATTGTCAAACATTTTGTGGTCTTGTGTTTTGAATAATTTATACATTTGGGTTTTTGAGAATTGTGATATTGGGTTTTATGTGGTTTTAAAAATGAAATTTTGTTTGAAAATTTAGAGTGTTACACTGTGTGAGCCAGATATGGTTATACATGTGCTAAAAAGTATTCCTAGTAATACTACACGATAATCTTAATAAAAGTATTATTACTTAAAAAGATTAAATGTTTATTGAATACTTACTATTTTGTGCTTAAATGTATGCATGTATTATGATAGTATTTCATGAACGAGAAGTTGTATTGAAAGTTGATTACAAGTATTGTGGTTTTGTCTAGTTATAAACTAAGACTTAAAATAAGTTGAATAAGTGCTTAGTTATACCCTATATTGTAACGATATTGCATAAGTAGGAAATTTAAATTGGAAGTTCATTATAGGTATTGTAGTCTTGTCTAATTGTAAACTAAGGCTTGTAAAGGATCCTTAGTTCATAGTACTTTGAATAAGTGAGTAGTCTCATTCTATGGTAAGATGTGAGATCAAAGCGGAGTGTATCAAACAACCAGAGGGTATGTGAGGTCATCTACCAGAGTAAGATGACAACACTTGATCATTCTAGACAATCTTGTGAATTATGTTGCTAGTGTAAGACTTATATTTATCAAATACTCAGATGGCTTGGGTTGCCTTTACGACTTTCACCGACGAAGGAATCCATTAGTTGTGTAGTCATACATTGTTCTAAACGATTTATCAGGTAGGTGATTCTTCCAGACGATCGTGGATTAGAACTTGTGAGAATCGACTGGTTTGGGTATTTAAGGGTGTAGTGTTTTATAGATATTTTCGTTGGATTATATATCTATATTGTTTAGCAATAGTTAGTTTTACATGTTTAATACATATCTATTATCATTAAAATATTATATGATGGAAAATCATATGTGTCTCACCACGTTTTCCCAAACCTGGCCTACTCAAACTATATGCATCAAAGATAGGTCTTTACGCTATAACTTATGTTTTATATTGATTATGACATCCTTAGGGTTTTTGTATGTTGAAAAAACATTTATGTTCAAAATATTTTAATAAAATGGGACATTTTCCACAAAATGTTTTAATATACTGGGATTTTCCACAAACAAATATAACATGGTTTTGAAAACGTAAATAAATGTTTTTTTTTGTTCTGAAAAATAAGGGATGCCACATGTAGTAAGTTCCTACATAGTATTTTAGCACATATTTGAAGTTTCATGTGATCAAATTTTTTTCTCTGTTACTGTCTGAAATTTGAATATGTGAGTTATGCAGAAGTGAGTTGTAATTTCTGAAGTACTAGTGTTTTTAAATATTAGGAAAGTTATTTGAGTGTCATGGGAAATTTTTAGATCCCTGTTGTATAAAGTGATGGTATTGCTAACAGTCTAAAAACTTATTAATTATACTCTATGTTAGTAGTTGTTAGCCTGTAGGTCTTGATTTTTTATAGTATTTGAAAATTTTAGGAAAGTGATGAAAAGTGTTAGTTGAATATTGATTGATTTTTTTGGACCGTTGTTTAATGTTTCTAGTTGCTAGGAATCGTTTGTGAACTATGTCTTAATGGATAATGTGTATTATTTTTGTTAATTTTACAATCATGGGAGGATCGAGTAATAGGACATGCAGTAGTTGAGCGTCATTGATGCAGGTCTAAGATGAGCGGCATCACTATGTGAGATGTCAACTTTAGAGGACATAACATCGTGGAGAGTCCTAGATTTCGACCCCTCACATATTGAGTGGATGAGGACACTCCGAAAAGTCGAGTCATATGGTAGTATTGATGTTACAATGTTGGATTACTGACGGTACCAATACTCCGTGGGATTCTAAAATATTGTTGTGTCACTCTGTATATTTCCTACCATTTAAAGTTCACAAACTCAAATTTCGATCACATGAAACTTCAGATTTGTGCTAAACAACTATACTTCAAGATTTCATGCTCTCTTTTTATGTATTTCTGCCATTTTCTACTTACTAAAGAGCACAAAAAATCAAGCTTTAATCCTACAAAGCGGGGTTTAAGCAACATATACCTATGTGAGACAGATGTAAAAATGAAGAAGAATGGTGGTTTTGATGTCCAAAATCACAAAAATGGTGGAGGGGTTGTTGCCTTTTCGTCAACAAATGAATATAACACCTTCACACAAAGCACAAACAGATTGAACATTAGTTCAAGGTTTTTGTTTATATCGAATTACCCCAATTATAAGTTTTCGCATTTAGGAGAGAACTTCAATCAACACTTGCTTTCCTCAACCACCACGATATTGAACATAATGAGCGGAATTGTCGTTCATTGACATCTTGCATATTGGGTGGATCATCTCGACTTGCGAGTGTGCATACAAAAATGTGAGAAATTATAATGAAAACACAAAGAAACGAGTAAAAGAGAACTAAATGCAGAAAAAAAAATCTTTTTCAGTCTTCAGAGTTAAAAAAAAAAATAGACTCAACTAATGAAAAAGAACTGAGAGCTAAGGGCAATAGCTCCCCGACAACGGTGCCAAAATTTGATCACAATCGTTGATGTAATAAAAAAAAATAAACCTTAAACGCATTAAATAGATAAGGCAAGTAAGCGTGAATCCACAAGGAGATTATGGTTAACAACTAGTTCCTATGAAAACTAACAAGCAAATTAAATTATAAAACAGTGATTGCAAAGAGGTTTGATTTTGTGATCTTGATACAAATCGGTCACTTTCAGGGCTCTTTCTAACTCAACCCATGTATACTCATGACCTCCTTAGTTGGATCTTGTTGCATGATGCTATTAGTTCCATTAAATTATAAACAAGTTGGCTCAATACAAACTTCCCGCTCATTACAATGTTCATATCTCTATAAATACTTCCATGTTGACCAGGTTGGAGTAATGTCACTCAACATTTACTTATGGGGTCTTTATTGGTGAAAATTGTTTGATGTAAATAAGGTTACGACTTATAAGAGGAACATATTGAACATTATTGAGAGTCGGGGGAAGAAATAACCAATGAACAAGTATGAGAGTTAGCAATACTTAAAGATTGTCGAGATTAAAAGTTATATGATGAGTAACATCGGTGTCAAAAAGTCATTTTAAAGAAGATTTGAAGTCTCATAGGAGCTTAAATTACACTGACATATGGTGATCTTGGTTTAGTCATTCTAAAGAAGATAACTACCGACTCAAGTCGTGATATGAATTTTATGAACCGAAATTTTAATCATATTGATCAACAAACGTGACCTAAATCAAGAAAGATGGATCTGCTCACTAAATTCTTAAATTTTGCATGTATATCATTCATTATAAGTTAATTTTGGAATTATATTTTAAAACGAAATGAGTAGCAGCATGTTGAGTTTACAATTAAAGGAATTATAATCCAAGATAAAAATAAATTACATGTGTGATAGCCCAATTCCATACCTTCCTAAAGTATCTTGAAGCAAAGGTTCTTTCATGATAACTCAAATGGTTCTTCATACGCAACCAAAGAAGGTATCCCATCATTGCTAGAATTGAAAGTAAAAGCAACTTATTCGCTTTTGTTTCCATAAATATCTTTATTTGTGTAAGGAGGTATTTAAATACGCTCAAACCATGGATGATGATCCCTTTTCTATCCTTCTGATAGATTGACTGAATCAAAAGCACAAGATTCCCAATCAGCTCAATGATAGTATAAAGCGACTCCTAAGATGCAATTGTCGTTTCTCTTTTACATGGTAATTCCTTTGATTTTAGACAAATTAGGTTATTATATTGAGGTAGTCTATAATGAAGGAAATTTTCTTGATTTATAGATATACAAAGCTAAATGCTTGATCCGAATCTGTGTGTAATTTCTTCAAACACCTAATATGCAATGCAATTTAGTTAATTAGAAACTGCATACCTCAAAAGAACCCAATTTCAACCGTTTGATTTTCGAAGGCTTCTGAGCAGAAAAAGCTGTTCTCTTTGTGATTCTTCTCCGAAATTTCTGAATGGCTCCGGAAATTCTTGATTTTAATGATTTTCGTTTGGTCGTCGGGTTATTATCAGAGCTCAATCGGATGAGGAGATGCGAAATCTTGAGGAAAAGTGAGAATCGAAAGAAATTGTAGCAAGTTGGTAAGTATTTAGATGCTTTGAGTTTGAAATGGATGTTTTTTGCCTTTGCTTGAAGGTTGATTCTCCATAGCTGCTGCTCTGCCATCATTCCGAGCATTGAGATGGCAGAGCTTACGAGAAGGTTGAATTGAAGTATGAAACAGCTTTGTTATCCAACTCCCGATGATGCTTCCATAGCCGTTAGAAATTTTGAACACAAAAAAAGGAAAGTGGGCCCATTATAACTCGGGATTTCATCCAACAGTTTCCATAGGCAAATCGGCCCATATGTCTTTAAGGTAAAGTTGGTATTGGATGATTTTTTTAAGTTTAATCGATGTTATATGGCCAACAAATATGTAACCAATTGGTAGCTAATATTTTTGGTATTCTTTTTAGCTATTATATTGATTTTACTAAACCCTAGTTTGCAATAGATTCAAAATAATAATAATTATAAATAAATAAATAAACTTATACGCGAGAAACACAACTATTAGGGGTTTATAAAAGTATCAATAATACAGATCTATATCTCCCATGAATAGTATGAAACTTTGACTTTAAGATTTATACAACAGAAAATATTTCATTAAAAGTAAAATTTGGTTGTTTTCTTCAGCGTTTTAAAGATTTTTACAAGTCATGGCCTTGGAACATAGAACGAAAATATACAAAGGAAAGGAGGCCAAGAAGTCTGAACTCGAGATTTTAGCCCAATAACTTCCAGAAGCAGCCCATTTGTTTACTTTGGTTTTAATTAAATTATTATAAATAAACAATAGAAAATACTTTACTATAACTTTATTTAAGTTTTAACAAATTTTGTATTTATAATTGAATTTTTAGAAATAAAACTTCATTTAATTAAATAATACATAAAATAGAATAAAAGTTATAAATTTGAATTTATATATAATTTATAATGTTTATTTCATTTCAACGTCCCAGTTAAATATTACCATAAAAATAATAACATATTTTATTACGTTGCTTATTATATTATCTCATTATTTTAATTATCCAATTAAACAACTCAATAAATTAAAATGCCATATCAAAAAATAATAATAATAATAATAATAATAAACTTTACTAAAGGTTACAGATTACAAAAAGATAGAAAAACAAAGCAATTTGTTTGAAAAATAAAGTAAACTAACTTATAAGTATACAAAAGGGATAATGACTTGATAGGGTAAAATACTTTTTGAAATGTACACATTTAGTCCTTATTTTTTTTTTTGTAAAATAAACCCTTATACTTTATTAATATGTACACATTAGGTCCTTTTCACCGGATTCTACAGGTTTTGCTGACATGGAAGGGTTAATTTTACAAAAAAAAAAAAAATAAGGACTAAATGGTGTTTGGCTGGCAACATATCTCAAAGATGGAGGCAAAGAGAGACAGATCGGAGAAACACAACAGGTAAAGAGTGTTTGGCTGTTGATGTTCGACCAGAAGGAAGAGAGACGAGAAAGAGAAGGGTCGCCGCCCTTTTCTTGTTGCTGGAGGATCACCCACCTCCGATGACTAAGCTAATTAATTGCTATTTAGTGCCACTTGTGCTTCCACATCAGCAAAACCTGTAGAATCCGGTGAAAATGACATAATGTGTACATATTAATAAAGTATAAGGGTTTATTTTACAAAAAAAAGGATAAGGACTAAATGTGTACAATTCAAAAAGTATCTTACCCTATCAAGTCATTTTCCCTAAAAGAAAATTCGTATATGACCGGTATACCTTAGCCGGTCACAAGGATTGCATTGTTACAAAAAATAAAATATAAGAGTTTATTTTACAAAAAAAAAAAAAAAAGAATAAGGACTAAATGTGTACATTTCAAAAAGTATCTTACCCTATCAAGTCATTATCCCTATACAAAAAGGGCTCGTGCCTTCGGGCCAGGCTCGACTTGGACTAAGGGTGGGCATCAACAACCATCGGACTATGTTTTCGGGCTTCAAACCTACTCCTTTTTAGAGGTATGTCTGAGCCTCAACTAGGCTATATTTGTTAAGGACGTGACAGATTAGGTTTTTCAGCCTTACTTTTACTTTTAATTGTTTTAATATTTAAATACATGAAGTATGATGTTATTAACATGAAATACATGAAAACGATAAATATAAGTGAAAGCAGGATGCTCTAAGGGGGTGTTTGGATAGGGAAAAAATAGGCTGCTTATTGCTTATTGCTTAATCCCACCGCAATAAGCAAATTTAAGTGTTTGGATAGAAGTCTTTAAAAATCAGCTTATTGCGGTAGGAATAAGCAAAATAAGCTGATTTTAATAAGCAAGGGGAGGAATGTTTATTGCTTATTGGTCATTTTACTCATATAAACATTTTTGTTTGCCAAACACTTAAAATGCTTATTGCTTATTGTCACTGCAATAAGCTAATCTAAACACATTTTAAAAAAAATGTTTATTCCCACCACAACAAGCAAATAAGCAATAAGCTAATAAGCTAAAAATTATTTATCCAAACACCCCCTAAATAGCAATATACATTCATCTATTTGTGTATTATATCATCGTACGCTAATATCTTTCATTTTCATCTATTTGTGTGTTATAGAAACAAAAATGCTATATAAATAAACTATAACTAAAATGATACATAACTTATAAAAAAAATCTCGAACCAAGTTGGGCAATTTAGGCCCGAAGGAAGCCCAAACAAGGCCTGCCAACCTTAACAGGCTGGTTTAAGAGGGTGCCTGCGGCTCAGGTATGGACAGGTTGTAGTTGTATTGACCAATATTTAATTGTGTGGCAGGCGGGGTTGCGGGCCAGGCCATAGATACTTTTGTGCACCTCTACATTAACGTATATATTATTGGATAATAGTGTTTTGTTATTTCATGTAATTTATCCTTAAACAAAATAAATAAACTATACCACATATAAAACACGAATGATTTCTTTTATTAGATACGCGGTTTCTTTTATTAGATGTGCGCGTAAACATACTCCTTCAAAACATAGATAAAACTAATTAACCAAACATTATTAGAATTAAGTCATCGGTTTTTTATTCGTGTTGTAACCTCGTAGTTAGTATACGAATATTGCCACTAAATCAGATTTTTTCTAACGTAATGTTTTCACTTTAGATAATGAGAATACATAATTGAAGTGCAAAATGCACACAAACGAACATGTGATATAATTCAATAAAACTTCTAACTAATTTGTTAGGGATAGAATTTTTTATGAATTCATCAATCAAACTCAATGAAATACACAACTACTGATCAGTGATTTATATAGGTTATTATATAGTATAGCATGATGATGAATGAAATAGTTTTCTGTGAACTCCATATATCCAGTGCCGATTTAATTAAATCTAGTTTCAAATACGACAATATACATCTATAATGTACAAGTTATTATATCATTGTTGTGTTGAACCCTTTTTTATGACGTCTAATAATATATTATTGAACTTTATCGATTGATGGGTTCTTTTTGTACATTTGGGATGGAAAATATATTTCTTTCATTCATTCATTCTTTTTTACTTTTCTACACTTCCAACTAAAAAAGGCAATGTAACGCTCACCCTAACAACCGATCCTAGAGCCACCATGTCCCCAAAGCAAAAACGGTGATATTTATACTTTAACCTGAGTGACACTTCAACTAGAAAACACGAGTAGAAGCGATTTAAGATCATTTGAAAACTCAAACCATGTTTTCATTAGGGGTGGTGACCATCAACTGGGGCATTACAACTTCATGACTATCAACAGGACATTCAAGCAAACAATTGCGACAGTTTGGACACGAAGAATGTGACTCAAACCACTTGTCTATGCATCCAACATGAAACTCATGGCTACAGTGTGGCAACACACGAACATTTTGTCCATCCACAAAATCTTCGAGACATATGGTGCACTCTGTAACCGAAATCTTGAATACTAATCCAAGAACCCGTGTTGAAATCTGAGCAACAACGGATTTTTTAAGACCAGCACAAGGTTCAGATTCATGTTCTGAAGTTCGTGTTGTCATTGTAGATGTACGTCTCCGTTGCATAGCGTAACGTATCACTTGAAACACTCCAAAAGAGGTTATGAATCCACAAAGCAACACGATCCACATAATATTGACTATAACATTCATCTCTTTTGAGTTTGCAGTATCTGTATCGTTGTGGTGTGGAGAAGAAACAAACGACCCATCAAGAAGACTACGAGGGTGGAAAGTTGTCATACGTTTTTCTTTGTGGAATTTTTTTATGCTAAAGGAAGAGAGTATAGAAAGATTGCTTCATGTGAAGAAGAGTTCCCAGAAGAGTTCCCAAGTATATATAATGTTGGAGACTTGGGAGTAGTGAAAAAGATGCATAAATATCAATAATACTTTGAATGTCTTTTATTGGTTACGAATCTTAGAAGCATATATATCGCTAATGTCACTTTTCCAACTGGATTGCAAGTTTTACTTTCGATCTCATAGAATCTATCTACTTTATTTAAATGGCTTGAGCACCTATTGAAACCTTTAATTATTTAAAGATATTTTTGTATTTTACCCGATTTATGTAATAAAAGTGGTTTCTTAATTGACATTATATGCAACTATATTTTGTTTTATGATGCACACTATATAATATTGTAACTGATTACCCGTTTTTTTTTAGAATTACAAGTTAGTATATGCTTAAGATTGAACCCAAGACTTACCGGTTACCTCGTAAAATGATATATCTAAAGTGTACATAAACAACAAAGTTTGAAAGTTATATTTTTTCCTAACAATTGTTAAACAATGTTTTAATTTTTTTATTCATTTTATGGAACAATATATTACTAATTTATTCAATTACATGACTAATACAATAAAACTGCATCCGGTTAAATAATCTACAAGTAAGATATTATCATATTATGTATTTAGATCTCAAAATTCTACTCTGGTAAATAAAAACCATTTCTGGTACTTGTCATATTATCATACATTTTGATACATTTAATTTTGTGATTAATTTCTAGAAATTAATTTTCACTTGTCATTTTGTGTTAATTTTTTATTTTCTTAATTAACTATTCTAATGGTGGGATGTCAAGTCCACCAAGCAAATTACACCCTTTGATTTCTAAATAAACGTAATATAATGGTAAAAAGGGGTATCGATCCTCGGG